CTCAACAGCAATCAGCCAGAGCGAGGCCTCACTAGCCCTATGTCGGGAGGTTGCCTCTGCAAGTCGAGCCCTTCGTAGGTCCCGCGGTAGACAACAGCTAGCGGACTGCATGGACATCCTTGTAGGTCGAGCCATCCAAGGCTCCCGTGCGAACTGTCAACCTAGAGTCAGTAGTGCTGCCCCTACAGGTCGAACTCCCAGTGGCTTCTTGTAGGAATGGATGACTGACGTCACTACGAGGCTGATGCAGTGCAACCGTGGCCCCAAACTGCCGACTCACACCGACAACGACATTAAGTATCAACAGCCCTCACAAGAGGAGGGGCAGAACATGTACTTTGTGGTCTCGCAAGCACTCCCCTTGGAAGATAATCCCATAGGATGACGTAGAAACAGACATATGAGAAATTACTATAGAATGACTACCCGCTTAGGCGGAAAGGTCAGGCCGCACGTCAACTAAATAATATTATGGAGAGTGCACTATGAGTCGCTCACAGAGCCTAAGGGCTAAGGTGCCGAGAAAATAAAGACCTCAGCACCACATGGGACCTAGTCGCCTCTTCGGCATGGGCAAAGATCAAGGATAAGGAGAGTGGACCACAAGTCACTCCCAGAGCCTAAAGGCTAAGGTGTCGAGCTGATGAAAGACCTTGGCGCCGCATAAGACCTAGCCGCCTCTTTTGCATGGGCGAAAAAAAAAGTAGTTCGCATCCAGCACGAGAAAGAGAACAAAGGAGAGACTAGTTCGCTCTCAATACCATGACGGATGCAAACTTGGTCAATCTCTTCACTTCGGTTTCAGGCTCCGCGTCAAAATCGATGGTTACTCTTTTAAGAACCAATTCAAGTAACACTGCGTCGAAGTCTACCTAGGTGGAGCGACCTGATAAAAAAATCACATGGTTAGAACCCTTTCTTGAGGACAGCATGAGGAGCTCCGCTCTTGAGGTAATAGGTCAGATTTCAGAACCCCTTGATGGTTGCATCCCTAATAAGGTAGATGTCATCGGGGTACCTGCTACACCTCTCCTCGAGCGGATGAGTCCGCTCTCGTGCCCCGAAAATCAAGATAGCGAGGTCCTGCGTAAGGCCGCAAGCACTCGAACCCTTCCGATCTGAGAAGCAAATTGGATCGACGCTTACGACTACGAGCTCATCAAACAGTCATTCCGAGCCAAAGGTGCATTCTACTCCTTTTGTCAATCTACTCTCAGCTCGAGAGTGGGAAGCAATTGATGAGGGCAGATTTGGCCCTCCAATGACATCGTGACACGTGGCATCTTAGAACAACTGGATGACACATAACACCACCTAAGCAATGACTTGGAGTCCCAGATCGCGGTTTCTCTTCGTCCTGACCTGGCGACTTGCCTTCACTACCAACCTTGCGACCTCGACCACAACTCAGGTTGACTAGAAGCATCTCATCCAGGACTAACCTGTAGCACCTCGTCACTAACTAAAGTGACCTCGACGCGAGGAGCAACCTCCCTCGGGGGCGAACCGGCCTAACTGAGGTCCAGGTGGCGACCTACGAGACGTGCTCACCGACAAATTCAGCATACATATCCTGACACTCTCACGTTTCTCGGAAATTGGCCCACATACCGAACGTTCCAGATGATGGTCAACGTGCATAACAGTTACCTCCGAGGATTTCGAACTAGTAAGGCACGACCTCCTGAAAATCTCGGATGCGGTGCGTGAAGCCTACGCCAAACAATGCCTATAAAGGCACCAACCCCAATGACACAGGGGACACACGATTAAGTACATTCTAGCTCTCATACTTTATGATTTGTAGCTCACAATCTACTACAAGACTACTAACTTAAGCATCGGAGCAACCTCGCCAGGTTAGCCACCCCGGGTCCTCTGACACTGTTTCCTTGCAGGACTCTTCGAAGAGCTATTGTTTCCTTGTAGGTCTCTTCGAAGAGTTACCCAGCTTGGCACCCGAGCAGCCTCCTAATTCAATCCAGTCAGTTCAGCATCTAAGCATTCATCCAGTAGAAATACTCCAGCTCGACCTCTGAGTCATCAACCACAAGGAAGTAGTTAGAACAATAAAGTGCTGCCAAAAAACCCTTCATCACAAATAATGCTACAATCAACAATACCAAGAGTCTAGGATATGCAGATATCCTACAATAATTTCACAAATATTACACCAAACAATCTATTATATGGTTATCCTAAAGAAATATTAGACCCACAAAAATGTATAAGACCAAAGATCAAAGGGTTCATGGTGTAAATCAAAAAGCAACTATTTTAAGATTCATAAATCTAGAGGCAAGGGGCCACTGGACCAAGTAGACAAGGCTGATCAGTGAGGAAAACCAATGACAAGGTAACAGCAAGAAAGATATAGTGTTCATGAACCCTTTACCGGTGGTGCCTTACCAATTCATTGAGGATGTATCCTGCTCGCTGAAGAGCTGTAATGATGGTAAGAGACGACAGTTAGACATGGCCCAAGTTTGTCGATGAGATCCTTATTGGGATCTAACTATGAATTGCAACGGGGTAGGGTGGGGACGGGGAGCCTCTCTCCATCCCCGTCCCCGTTCCGCTAACGAGGACAAGGTTATCCCTATTCCCCGTGATTTTTTATAATGTTATCATTTTATTTTGTTTTTTATTTTATTTAAAAAAATAAAAACAAAATAATTAAAATTTACAATCCTACTCGAAAATATTCAAACATATTCAACCATATTTTTAAAAATATCAATATATAGATGTATGTGTACATATATACAAATCTAATGTATGCATACAAATATATATATACATATATATTAGTGGAGTCCCACGGGGGACATCCCCGCTAACGGGGATGAAAATTTCCCCATCCCCGTCCCCGTGGGGGGAAAATCATCCCCATCCCTTCCCCATTTGGGGCGGATCCCCACGGGGATCGGGGAAATGGGGAAAATTGACATCCCTAAATCTAGGTGCATTATAGGTGTTAGAGCAACCAGTGCTGAAAACGTTTCCTAGAGCATTGGTACCAAACAAAAGAAGTTGTTATTGCCCTACTTGGCAGCAACGATTCCAAACAAAAATAAAGGCACAATGCTCCAAGCCACACATCAGCAGCACCATTTTCTTAGAAAACGGTGTTGCGACTACAGCATCAATGCCAAACATATACTAAAAGTCACTACTATAATTTAAGTCAATTTTGGATAAATTTTTATTTTTGTAAAAAAATAAACATGGACTATTTACTCATTTAGTGTAAATTAAATTATTAACTAATAACTTAGGGAAACATATAATCTTAATTTAAAAAATACAAAACCAATTAGAATTTCTAAAATGCATATCATATCAAATGTAATAACTGAAATAATTGTTATGTTTTTATTACTTTGCTTCTCTAAATTATCAAAAAATATATATAAAAAACATTTTTATATAAGTTGTTCAATTAATTGATTTCATAGACCGATTTTGTAAGTCTTTCAAACCATAAAAAAATACGGGTACAACTTGAACGCGCTTCTCTTGACCTTTTGTCAAAATTTGAATGGACCCAACCCAAAGACCTAAGCCCAAAGAAGCATAATGAATTAATGAAATACCAAAAAAAGAGCAGCATAATAAAACGCTAACTCAGGGCACCCCTACATCAAAACCTCTCTCTCTCTCTTTCTCTCTCTCTCTCTCTCTCTCTCTCACACACAGACACACATTTTGGATTTCCCCAGTTTTTACCGGAGATTTCATATAAACACAAATACAAGCAAAAGTGAAACCAATAATTCTATAAGTAAACACCAATATAGCATTGCATCTCATATATTTAAATATACAAATCTATAATTCTATAATAAGTGAAACTGTGCTTCAAAAGTGAAACCAATAAACATAAATCATTCCATCTACACCATGTGCCAGTCAATGTAGAAATAGATACATCATACACATCAGAATGTATCACAAAGGTTCAAAGTATCGATGCACTCAATACTGAATTTTTATTTCAATTTCAAGCATCTAAAAGAGAAACAATTGATACTTCATTTTCAGCTCCATAATGATCAAATGGATATTATTAGGGGTTCTAACGTTTAAATGAATAGCAAACCCCTGAATTGATGGATCTTAGTACTCAGAGTTTCAGTAACTCTGAAAACCAATACATATACGATATTATTCGTATTGCCACTCAAAGCTTCAGTTCTGATTATCAATAGGCTCTGCATTTTGAGCCTCATCTGGTTCCAAACAAGCTAAAGACCACAGATCAAAATATCTTAGATGCATATCCCATTCAACGTTTTATAGAAGTTTCTCGTGATCAAGCTATAAGATGTATAAAATTGTTATTTCATTAGATATGAAAAGACCAAAACAACTAGAGCTACATTGTCACTATAAAACAATCTTAGCATTGTCCAAAAGGAAAACAAAATAAAATATCGGACTAAATTAAAGACATCTTTGGCATTTTATTTCGCGCACAGTGCCTTAGCTATATGAGGTCCTGGGTTGGGAGGAATGAACCGGGTACAGAAGTAAACTTTCGCATTTTATTTCGCGCACAGTGATCCAAACCGTGCTCTACAATGATCCAAACCAGACCCACACTGGCAGTCCAACTCCAACAAATAACAATAAACAGGTCATGCTAAAAGACTGCTGTGTTGGGTGTACTCAAAATAGTACATATAAACACCATATATGTGCTAAACAAATGCTCGGTGCTGCACTAGGCCAGACCCGGCGAACAGACGAAATCGGCTTCCATCAGGGCAAACCTATGCCCACACCGTTCTAACAGTCTTTCATACCTTGCATTGGGAATATCTCCCCATGAAATAAAGCATATAAATACGGAGACATTCTCAACGCATAGCAGTAAAGGCTGATCAAACCGGCTTTGCCCTGACTGAAGCCGTTCCCGAACAGACAGCCCCAAAGCCAGTGCAGCACTAAAACAAAAGACGGCATTCATCCGGATGCCTGCAAAACAGCATTTAATGTGCGAAACAAATGCTCATGCGCACCAGTATCAGTAATCATACAATAAATAGTCCATTCGATGCAGAAATACAAATCATTGCATACAAGGTATCAGAAGAAATAAATTCGCTTCTATAGTACATACAAGCCGAAGCAGCATTCAACTTAAAAATGCTCAAGAAACATGGTTCCACGGATGCTCAACAATAATTAATCACCTAGGAAAACTTGTACAGCTGTAAATGTGTATGAAACGCACCACGAAGTGAGATTTCTGGGCCAAATAGAACGATCTAGATTGCATTATCTCAAAATCCCTCTTACTCTACATCAACAGTAGTATATCTACTCTTATTCCGCATCGTTGTCAGCCTCCTCGGCATCTTCCTCATCTTCCTCATCTGTCATATTGTTTATTACTTCTTCGATTATACTTTTCACCTCCCCTTTTCTATGCATTAGATCCATTCCAAAATGAGTACCTATCACATTATAAGAAGAATAAAACATTACCAAGGTGTAGTCATAAGCAGGGCCTACTAGATCACATTATACCAAACTCTAAAGAACAACCCAGACCAACCCCGTGTTCAACTGGGCCCAGCCTTTGGCAAGTCCATTAAACCCGGTAAGCAATATCCAAGACCTGACAGGCCTAGATTAGTTTGCTCCAAAGAAGTCCCACACAGCACACACCCACCCACAAACACCATTTACACTGAATATCCTTACGATTTAGGTGGTTCAAGCATGAACATAAAACATAAAGTAGAAAGAAATACAGGACCAAACTCATGGCTCCGTTCGCAATTTGATGCCTAAATACTGCGAGAGAAGACAAGGCTAAAGAAAAAGCAAATCCCTTGTAATGTGCAAGGAAATCATACCTAACTGCCTGAGAATATCTGACAGAGTGGCCTGCATTACAATCAGTTGGCATATTGTGTGAACGATGGTGAAAGATAGGCCAAATGGAACTAATTGAAATAGAATTAAACAATGAAAAAATTACTCACAGTATTAAAATCCACTTCTTTGACGATATCAGTGACTGCAGCATGCATCTCTTCTCTGCTTGGTTCCACCTTGCCCTTCACCTTTGCTTTGCTCCTCTCTAACAATTCCAAAGGAAGAGATTAGAAAAGGAGTTACAGGTGAGAAATAAAAGCCAACACATCACTGACATATTGAAACACTTGAAGTTTTAGAATAAATGTGACATGGTTGATATTTTTAGCTTGCATAGTTTAGATTATACATGGTAGCTTGTAACCATGATGCTGCAGAGAAACAAAATTAGGTCTGGCATCCCACAGATAAGTTACAAGCTTAACAGTTAAGAAGCCTTCAAATATTTTGATCAGTACATGCAATGACAGAAGATAGGAAGAAGTTTGAAGGATGCAGTCATGACATCAATTGGTTGCATATTTACCAGCATTAGAGCTTTCCTCTGTCTATATAAATGAAAGGCCTTATATCAATTAGGTACCTTTCTGGATGCTTCACTCAATCAAGAGCGTATCAAAATGAAATGGCCAAAATTCCCAAAACGTTTTAAAAAATGCTCTTATTTGCAACAAACAAAAAAAGGATTGCTGATTGAAAACATACAGAAAGCATCAATGAAGTCCCAAAAACAATATATATTCCAAAGTACTAAGCAACATAAATACAAAAAAAAAAATACCAACTATAAATACCAATGAGAGTGGCAAAAAAAAGTATTCATGTAGCTAACCAAACCCAATTGGGTTGGGACAAGGCTTAGACAATGGTGATGATAATAAATACCAATACACCAATACATCAAAACTCATGAGTTGGATTTGCTGCTGAAGCATCACTATAGGCATGGGGGGTATATCTAGGGGCATTTTGGTACTCAAACTCGATGGCTGCATTTTAACCACAATCCCCCTAGAGATACTCATTTCACCAAGCACAGTACTTCCGCTGAAGCTTCAGCACAAGAACAGTACAACTAAACACAAATAAAAAGAATAATAGTGTCAACATCAAAAACAGCAAAAGGCCAAAAAAAAGTAGGCCCAACATACTGACCATCCTAATTAGAAGATCCCACCAGAAGTGGAAAGCCACTGGTCCAATCTAAATCTTATTGCTCAACATCTGAAGTAAATAATTGGATTATGGCAAACCACCACTACAGATCAACATTGCATGTGCATGTCCAGCATACCACTCAGAAAACCCAATCAATGGCCAGTCTGGCAATCAAAACAATATGCCACTTGGGCAGCCAAATCAATAGGTCTTAACCACTGTTAGCAGTCACCAACCCACGAGATGGTTTGAAAGATAAATCATTCATTAGGGAACACATCAAAAAAATAATGTATACATCAAATAGTCCATATCTTGCACAAACATAACATACACAAAGAAAAGAGCACATCTAAATTGATTTGCATTTGCACAGCCCATACACTCCATTTGGGGAGAGTGCAAATACGAATATGCACAGTTCATACACAAGCTCCACTTGTATTTGCACTGAACATATTTGTATTCGCAGTATTCCAAATGGAGCCTAGAGTACCTCACCAGAATCTTGGAGTGACATAATTAGGGGTGCATGTTGGGCTGGCTCAGAATGATTTGAGGCAAACACTAACCCAGCCCAAGCCATGGAACCTCCGACCTAACTCTAACCCAACCCAAAGTTTTTAGGCCAAGTTGGGAACAGGTTGACTTTGGATTTCATTTAGAATCAGCCTAGGGTATTAAACCATCCATAATGTGGCAAAATGCTATTAACTAATACACAAGAGAGAGAGAGAGAGAGAAGGTCTTGAAAATTAGATGTATGGTAAAGAAGATAGTACCGGTATAAAAATTTACAGCGGGGCAAAGCTAATGTTATAGCTAAGATTGCACCAATCATTAGCTATAACCATGCAGGCCAGACCTAACACCAATCATTAATTGTTAATTTGATGAAGAAACCATTATCATTAATGCATATATTGATGAATTGCTATTTTTTTATCAATAACACTTTCATTAACTCATCAAAAGAAGATTTACAATAGGAAGACAAACACGCTTATCTTCCAAGAGCAACAAAGAACCACAAGAAAAGAAAAAAAAGAAAGAAAACACGTTATATTTACAGCTTATCCCAAAAAAGTGAATCCCTTTCTGCCCCTTCTTTAACTAAACCGTC